AGTTCAGAGTTTTTAGAAATTAATTACTCTGCAATTAACACGAACAAAACACAGCATAGCGTTTAACTTCATGTTTGATTGTTTTAGTGCCATCTAGTGACCTAGATGAAATTTTAAATATTTTGCTGCCACCTAGTGACTCAAAGGCAAATAACATGAAAACAGCATATCACTATTTTTTTATTTCAATTTATTTATTTGCATTCATTCACTGTGCATCATTACAGCATACAAAATGAGATTTTCCATCCAGAGTACACTGTATATTGTCTCAATCAAGCACATCAACAGACATGTTATTGTCAGCAAATAATCTTCCATTTCTTGTTTTCTGTATGTTTTGCTTTTTTCCCCCCATCCTTGATTCCCTATCTCTTATTCTCTGCCATCTACCAGTCTCCTCCCACACTGTCTCTGGTATCTATATTTGCTTTCTATACTGTTTCCCCTCCACATTTTATTGAATTACTGAAGACCTTAATTAATCTAAATATTTTCATAGCAAACACAGGTGATATATACATTTCCATGAACACAAGTCTAACTTTACGCATCCTATAAAGTAGCACCTAGCTGGGGCTATATATCTTACTGCAGTCATTGAATAGATATATTTTTTTTCCTGAAACTTAGTATCGCTTTTTTAAGAATTCATTTTATTTATCATTATTATTATTTTTTAAAATTGTTCCAGGAAATGTGCACTCACCAGAGAGAGAGGAAGAGAAAGGGAGAATGAGAAAGCAAGCCACCAGGTCTGGGATTCAAACTGCTGTCAACCATGTGGAAGTCCAGTGTTGTAACCACCACACCACCTGCTGGCCCCCACAACTTCACTTTTAATTTGCATTTTAAGTCTTTAAGAACATTAGGGGTCATTTTTCCAAATCACTACATTTGTAAACATTAAATCTGAATTTTTAAAAATGTCCCACTTAGTGTTATCACTCTTTTTTCTTACCTCTTCTCACTTCTTCCTTTGAGTAAAATGATATTTTACTCCTATCTCTGGGTTCCTCTTTAATATTAAGTAAAAACTCATTAAAAGAGAAATGAGAATCTAATTTCTTTATATGTGCTCCTCGATGTGATCTGAGGCCATATGCATTTCTTTTAGATCAATTTTATCCATACAATTCTTATTTGAGTAACTGACGTATTAATTTTTCCCATGTATTCAAGTGCACGTCTAGCTGATCAGCCTTGACTTTATTTAATTATATAAATGATTACAGTTAGACACTGAAAACTGCAGTTTTACATGTCCTATTTATACATTACTTCCCATTCATCTACATAACACTCACTGATTTTACATTTTAAAGAAGTTTACATCAGTGATATTGAATCGTTTCTTGCTTTTTAATCAGTACAGTCTGTCTCCCCATTACAAGAGCAGGCAGGATTGTATGTTTGCATTCTCATCACCTTACAGGGCCCTCTATTCAGTAAATTCTTGTTGATGTGTCCCCACACCTACAGTCATAGGTTTGGAAGGAAATGAGCATTTGAATATTTTAAAAACACTGAATTCAAATTAGTTTCTGCCTCATTTTGGACTTTTAAGATATCTGCGATGATGATACCTGAAGAGCAAACACTGGCCGACTCCAGCAGCTCTTCTGATGCTCATGCAGGTACGGATGCCCAGAAAGACTGTTTGCAGGCCTGTGCGTGATTAAGTAAAGGATCCTCTGCTGAATGAGAACACAAAGTGTGTCTGTAATTGTGTGATAGCCATTTATAATAACATAGCACTTTGAGAGAAAAGTTGGGAGCAAGTTTTAATTTGGGTAATAATTCTGAGCACTGTCGATGACTCAGACTGGTGGAAATTTTGTTCTACTGGGAAATGCCTACGTTAAACTAAAGAGATGATTTTCCAAGGAGATCGAAACTAAGATGAGCCAAAAAGAAAATTGATCTTAACCATGCAATGTGTTGTTCAAGAAGCCATTTTTCCTGAATTCATCTATGTTCATGATGTTGTTTATTTACCAACTGCTGATTGTTTATTACTCGCCAGACACGTGTTAGATAATAAGATGAACCTCGTGCGCAAGGCTCATATCCATGTCTCAGGGAACTTATGATCTAGGGAGACAGCCTCCTTTGACTGGGCATTTCCCCTCAGAACGGTACATCTTATTCAGCTAATGCACTGGAATAAGGGCCATTCGAATTCAGCATTAAGGCATACGCTCCTTCCCCACGTAGAGTAAGTGCTGGATACATTTTTCACAGTGCTCTAGGCATTGCTACGTACCCTGAGAGACTCAACTCGTGCATTACCACTAATGATCAAAGCTTCACTCCTAATTTCAAGGGATTTAATTAACACGTCCAATTCGCACTGACCAACCTGGTTTTATTTCACCCAAGTGGTAATATTAAATAACTGTGGCCTCACAGGACTCTGTCATGTGACTTGACTTCCCGCATCGCAGGACTCTCCTGACCCAATACCATTTTCATTCCTCAGGGTAACGAACTCCTTGCTGCCATTTTTCTAAAGTAAGTTAACATATTAGTTGGTGAATGAAAGATGGATCAAAGCCAATAATTTAAATGATTAGACTTCAGATCTAAAGATCTTAAATGTCTTAAAGGTCTAAGTATATAGATTTTTGCCGTACCAGGCTAGTGTCATACCAGTGCACATTTTTAAAAAATGAAAACCTGAAAACTACAGTGTAACTACACAGTCACTTAATTCTGTGTCCCTAAGTAGCACCCACTGCTCAAGTCTTTGAACCCCAGAATCCTAAACTGATTATGAGGCTTCTGGAAACTATTTTATACTCACAGATGTATGGCCATACACTCTTCACGTCTGTAATTTTGTCAATTGGTTCTCACTTACTACGTTAGACCTTCCTTGAGGAATGGAACATCCAGCTCAGAACTTGAGTTCTTTATTGCTACCCTCAGTCATAAAATCAAACTATACCATTCTTAGATTTATTCCATTTTTATCACTTATAACAATCTCTCTCTCTCTCTTTTTCCTTTTTTGTTTTGCTATAGGGCACATGCACTCAATGGAGAGAAACAGAGAAAGAGACACAGAGAGAGGGAAAACAAGAAAGTACCCACTGAGGGGATGACCATGCTACAGTCCCTTCTCCTCCATTCTTCTCTTGGGATTTCAGGCATGCACACACCCATGCCTGGCATGTATTTCAAGCCACCAGTCGGACTTGAACCATGGAATAGGCTATGTGGGATTCAGCTGCGTTAACCTTGCCACTTGCCAGCCCCAATAACACTTTTTCATTAAAAACACAACATTCAACATTCTATGTTCATGTTTTATTGACTTTGGTGACCAATACAACTGCTTTTACTTCAAGTTCCATTATTCACTCCTCCATGATCTAGGACTCATTCATTCCAGCCTCAAATTAGAAAGACATCAAAGGCAACTTTTATTTTAATAGGCATGCATAGATAAATGTGATGAAATTAAAAATAAATGGCCCTCCTTCAGGTAAAGAAAAATAGTAAAGTCAACCACCTTTATGAGAAAGAAATTCAAATTCTCAATCAATTTTTTTAAAGCTCCTAGTCTTATTGTACTTTCTGTCACTGATAATCAAACCCACATAATCTTAGTAGTAGCTAAATTTTTAATAAATGATGAACCTCTTGTTGGTTAAAACTTCTTGTTAAAACACAGTATCATCTCAATTCTTGGTGTCCATAGTCATATCCGGTTTTGGCTGATGTTTAATTTTACATGATCTTCATACACTTCAGTAATAGAGTCATTATTGCTTTAAGGTGGGCAACTTCATGAAAAACAGGAAAAGTGAAACGCTGGGAAACTTAAGATAACGGGAAAATGGTGCGCACTAGCCATTTTTCTATATCTGTGCTCTTCCACCTTTGTCTGTTCTTCTCTGAAACCTTACTAGAATTGCTACTTTTATAGAAAAGATGATTATTACAAAGATTGAGTGTGAAATTCACACTTTCATGTTAGATCTCGTCAAAAGCAACTGGTTTCTTAGTGACTGCATCTCTCTCTTGCACTCACTGCTCAGGATGGAAAATGAAATACACTCAGAGTAAGGAGCACCAGGAGGAGGCAAGGAACCACACTCTCCAATGCCTTTCCTTTCCTGAAGAGGGCAAGATCCAGGGGCCTCATTTGAAGGAGGCTCTCACCACCCTGCCTTTGATGGGCTGCGGAGGGCGCCAGTTCCCCACGAGGGGTACAGGGGGTTCGTTCTCAGCGCTGGATGACAGGCTCCTCAGCTTGGCCATCTGCATGGGCAGGAGCAGGCTGTTAGCAAGACACACTATGCAACAAAGAATTAAAATTCTCAGACTTTTTTCTTTTTTAGAAGGTTTTGCTTTAAAGAGCATGCACTCAAGGGGGAGAAAAAGAGACAGAGACAGTGAGATAAAAAGTGAGAAATCACTTCTGGGGGAATGGCCATGCCACAATCCCTTCTCTATTCTCTTCTTGGGCTCTTGGGCACCCATTCATGCACACATGCTTGGTGTGAGTCTTAGGACTCGAACCACAGTAGGCCATGTGGGAGTCCAGCCCCCAAATTCTCAGGCTTTTTAAACAAGGCCAGCAAATCATGAAACCTGCTTTCTAAGTTCAGTCCAGAACTGTTTTGCTACCAGTTCCTGAGTAATATTTTTTTCTGTATTGGTGAAAAGTCGTTTCTTCATTTCACAAAGGATTACCATATCCTCTGGTCAAAACCTTTTCCTCTTAAATTCTACTACAATTATTTGATTTGAGGGGGTCAGTATGAAGTATACATTTTATGCAGGAAAGGATGACAATATTACATAATGCAAATAAGAATGCTTACAAGGCTTTCATGAGTCTACAGAATCCTCTTTTTTTTTTTAAATAAAAGGGGGGGAGTCATACTACATTTTAAATGGACTTTTTTCTTTAAGTGATACGAAAATAGGAAATGATCATGAATAATATTGTATTTCTACATTCCAATGTGTTTAGCTTTTCCTCCTCATGAGGAAAATTTCATTCCTCTTTCAAAATATTTCTACCAATGAATAAAACCATTAGGTTTGATATTTTGATTTAACTTTGACCTATACTTTAGCCCATAGTGGCAGACATAAGCTACTGTCTTATGCAAGGGAGATATCCTGGAAAATTGATTTTACAATCGGATTTTCATGTTCCAAGCTGGGAGTCCCCATGTGTTCACTCGCTCTTAATCTAGTCTTCTCCTGTCACTGTGCACTTATTTCCCTCCATTTATCTTTTCCTTTGGAGTTTCTTTAATGCCCCTCATTTAAAGCACACTCTTTAAATGAGCAGTGAGAAGAGGGTCTAAGAAATACTGAAAGCAGGTCCACTGGAACTGGGATTAGGATCCTGCACTTGGCTCTGTGATGATGGGCAAATTACTTAACCTTTCTGAGCCTCAATTTATCTTATCTGTAGAACTGGAGAAAAAATATACCTCTTACCAGATGTTAAACCCCTTTCATTACCATCCTCCTCATTCTCAGGTCTGTGTTAGCTATAACATATCCTGGCCAATGTTCAGTAATTTGGAGATGTCCAAATTAACACTTACTCATAATAATTTAGACCTGGGAGTATTTCTAGAGCATCAACTCCGGCATTGTTCAGAAATGCTTAGAAATGCTTTGCATGTATCCTGATACTCTTTGGAACCCAAGTTTTAGAAAGTTGAACAGTTGATTGACAGTTGAACAGTTAACCAGGGCAAACTATGAAATCTAGTTGCAGAGTTGGTCCATAGGCATCCACTTAGCAGCGCTATGTGGTCGATTTAGCATCTCTATCTCTTGCAGTCAGCCAGCACTGTCCATCCCAAAGTTCACCAGGCTCTAATGCTGTCGCTTACCTGGTCGGAGCTCACGGTGATGGGCTCCTTCAGCAGCAGCCACACAATACACTCCTCGCACGGCGGCGTGGTGAAGGAGCCCTGGTAGGTCCAGTAGTCCCGGCAGGCTGGGAACAGGCAGGACGGGTCAAAGTGCGTGAAGGGCGCCTCCTTGCCCTGGGAGACAGCAGGGCGCAGGTACAGTGAGCCAGTGCATGCAGAGAGAGGTTACTTTTACCATCCCATGGATCTTACCGTTTCATGTGTAAAAATGGATTTCAGACACAGTAGAGAAATGGAACTATTCAACAAAGCACTGGCCTTTCAAAATAAAAGCCAGTGGCAGAAGCAATTTGCAAGTTATGATTTTATCTGGCACAATCATTTAAATATGTTAGCCCTTACTGCTTTTCCTGTAGATAGAATTATAATTCCATCAGTTGTCAAGGAAAAGGAGGAACCAACATTTAAAATATAGAAGAATTATTTCATGTAAGTTTATGTTTTGGTTCTTAATGTTCTTTTTTTAAACCTAGACTTATAATTTTATTGCATGTTATACAAGCATACTTTTAAAAGATCATGGAAAAACAATTAAAATTCAAGTTTATTTGAATGCAACTTTTTTTTACATTTTTTTTGAGAGGTTTTTTCGCTATAGGGCACGTGCGCTCGCCAGACAGACAGAGAGAGACATAGAGACAGAAAGCGAGAAATCACCACCCAGGGGGGATGGTCACGCTGCAAACCCTTCTCCTCCATTCTCCTCTTGGGATCTTGGGCACGCACGCACACGCGCCCGGCGAGAGTTTTAAGCCACCGGGTCCGGGACGCGAACCATGGTCGGCTATGTGGGAGTCCAGCAACATAGCCATTATGCTAACTGCTGGTTCCCTACATTTGCTTTTTCACAATACTCATTAACCATGAATTTGTTGAAGACCCCTGATACTTGCAATACTCAACTTTCTCTGGTGGAAAAACAATAGCATTTAATTGGAATAGTCCCAAAGACAATAAAAATGTATCTCTTAATTAGGAAAGATTACAAGTAAGATTTAAATCATATAGACATTGCCCAGGAGAGAAAGGGTGACACCAGAACTCAAAAGACCAGCCCTAGGGGACATTTAGCAATCTATACAACTGTGTATGTATGCATATGACATGTGTGTGTGTGTGTGTGTGTGTGTCCTAGGGGCGAGCGGTAGCCACTCGACTTCTGTGACTCTCATCCACTTCACTTAGGAAGTAATTATCTGACAGGCTGACTGCGATGATTATATAAGCAGATGTATGTGAAATTGTTCACAAAAATAAACAAATATAATGGCATTTATTTTTATATTATGTTTAGCATCATCAATCAAACTTAGTAACAAATTTTAGATGACAGAAATATACTTGAAAAAAAATGGACATACTCTGCTTTATGTTTTTTATTTTTTTTACCTTTGTCTTAACTTTGTCCAATGCATCAAGGAAAATTTGAAACTCGCCTTTTTCACGTCCTATCTGTAAGAAAACAAAAATCCAAGAATGATATTTGTCCCTTCTCTATAATTTAAGATTGCCTTAAGAGCCGATTCTGACCCATCCATCTGCAACTAGTGTTTATAAATCCACTAGAATATTGTGTACTCAGCAAAACATAGGTTTGTTTTCCCTTTGAGATTTTTGAGTATATATTTTCTGATCTAAACTTGGACCTTAGGACTCTGAAGTACAAAACCACAAAATTACATGGTGATCGAGTTCTATGTCCTTGACCTTCTCTGCAAAGTCATGCCACTTTTTTAACAGCCTTTGACCTAGAATGGACTCTGTGTCCGAAAGTAAACTCATTGTCTTTCCTTTTAGCCCCCTTCTACTTCCTGTTGTGTTCTGGTCAAGCCCTGAAAATGACCCAATGAATTCAGAACATAAATAAATTTGGTCATTCAAAAAGAAAGAAGCCAGATTTCCACCTCAGGCTTAAAATCTAGATTATGTTACCACTAAACTCATGTGTTAATAACACTAAGTCCTCTTTAAACCAAAGCTGGCTCAGCTACACACACATTCCATGTGCTATCTTAGCCTGGGATCATGTGAGTGGTGGCCACCCTAAGCCTAGGGGATCTTGAGCCAAGGACTTGGCCTCAAAGTGGTTCCCAACAGTGGCTTTTCTGGTTTCCAGTGCATTGACATGGAGTAGTGGGAAAGGGAGATGAACTCACAGACTCCTTGCTCTCGCTAGCACCATAATGGGCTCTCTCAAAAGCTCCTCAACTCCTTCTCTCTCCACACACAAACACACACACGTATGCACACATCCCACATCTTGAAAAAATTTAATAGTGCTAGGGATATTGGAATATGACAAAGGTACACTTTTAGAAGAAAGCAAAACTTGTTGAGCTGATCTTAACAGAAATATCATGATGATTTGAACAAATAATAAGAAGTATATAAGAGGGAGAATCTCCCTCCAAAGCAAAAGGAGTGACTGAAACATTCTCTCTTATACTTTGATAAGGAAGTAAATGTTAAAAGAAAACATATGGCCAATCTTTACCTTACCTTCAAAAAAATGCCAACCACAGCGATTCCATCACGTTGCTTCAGAGCCTCCTTAAAAGTGTTATATTTTGGATTCCAGTGAACCAAATGAAGCTGAAATCAAAAAACACAGGCTATGAGAAGAATTCCTGGAACCAAAAATATAAGCATAAAATTATCCACATCTAACCCCATAATGGTATAGTTAGAAGTTTCTGAATGCTCCAAGAAGTTGATAAAATTCTGAATATTAACATCCAACATTTTGGAAAACATTTTAATGGTCCAAATTAAAAGCGTGTAAAATTATCCACCACGTTTTTGCAATCAGTGCTCTAGAACCTTGTGACCATTTTGTAGTAATCTAGAACATGTGCACTGGTTAAGTTCATCAGATTTCCCTGAGTTACATATTATAGAATGGCAAGACAATAGAATAGTGTGCATCAGTTAAAAAATATTTTACTCAAGATCAGAAGTTTGGAAAAATCGCTTGTGCAAAGGTCAAACTAAAAGCTTGCTGATATCTGTAAGAAACATATTAAACTTCCCTCCTTGTGGGGGAAGATGTCTAAAAGACATTCTCAGCAATTAGTGTATCCTGCCATTGGCTCTCTAAATGGTGTAGAAAAATGGAATATCACTGTGAAGAGCTCTGGGTTTTCAAAAATTAAGTCTGCCTAAAAGTTTTACTTAAGAAAATGTGCTTTCCGGTTCCTGTCTCAGCACTTATGTTGACCAGAGCCCACCCTTGGAAAAGGGTGCAACATTGAAGTGTTAGCTTTCCTTATTGTTCTGGTTCCATTCAGGGCCCTGGTCTTTTTTATATTTACCAGCTACCCAGTTCCTTAATATAATCGCAGAAGTCTTCATGCATGATGCTAAATCACCTATACGTACCCTCTTACTGTTAAACCAGAATGTTTGGCATCTCCAGTTTATATTAAACTGCTACAGCTCTTTTCACAACTACAGTTTTGATGCACAATTAGGTGACGTTTCGTCGCTACACCTGCTATTGTTAAGTTTTCAGTTTTAACTGTGTGACATTTAGAGAGGATAACAACAGTTCCTCCTACCTCAGCTGCATACTTGACTCCATCCACAGTGTGCTCAGAACCATGATCATCTGAAGAACCCCAGTGAAGGTGAAACTGGCGGAGTCGGTAGGGTCCAGGGAGAGGACCGCCTCTCAGCACTGTGATTCAGATAAGGTAGGTGAGCAGTGAATTCACAGTTACTTTACTGACCCCTACTTCAAGCAAGTGCCAGTATAACCAAGACGGACAGGTACCAACTGGTCAGTATGCTGAGACTTCTCAAAATGTAATTGTGAGGGCCAATATGGTGTCATGGTGATTGAGGTGCCTGGATCCCACATGGCCAACCGAGCAGTTCTAATCCCAGACCTGATGACTTAAAAAAACACACCAGGCACATGGGCATGAATGCCCCAAAAGGAGAGATAGAGAAGAAGGGATTGTGGCATAGCCAGCCCCGCTGGGGATTGCCTTCCCACTTTCTCTCTCTATATATATCTCTCTCAGGAGAGTACATGCCCCAGAGGGAAAAAATATACAGTCTTAAGATATTTGAAATAAAAGATTTTTCTTTTCTGTCTTTGCTTGTTTTATTATGTTTAAAATATCAATTTAGTACTTATGAAAAAAAATCAAAACAAGAGATGGACAATAAGGATGCTTATTTTATCCAGAATAGGTCAGTTGTGTGGTGCAATGAGAAAAAGTGGACAGGTGAGAGCCAGATTTAGGTTCTAATCCTGGCTCCTCCACTTAGTAGTTGTGTGATCTCAGGCAAGTTACTCTACTTTTCTGAACCTGTTTTACATCTCTAAGAAGGTGATAATAACACCAAAGTTTCAGAGCTGCTGTGAGGATTAGCTGAGATTAAGCTCCTTTAAGTGTTCATCATGGAGGCTGCACAGAGATTGTGGGGCTTTTCCAGGTGTGGCTTCCAACTACACTTTACGACTACAAAGCAAGAACTTGCATCCACAGCTAATTTAGACTTTGTCTATTTGAATGCAGTAAGATAGAAAATTCAGAAATTTCTCAGGAAATCAATCACTGTGGATGACTAAACTAGGTAATTCTTGGTAGCATCATTGGGCTCGTATAGAAATACCTTAACCTGTTACTTCATTTGGTCTTCATTCATTCAGTCTGGGGAGTGATTAAGAGGTTCAAATGTCTTCCAAAGCATATTGACAACTATGTAGAAACCCTAAGATCATAATTTAGCAATATAAGCTAAATCAAAACAGAATTCAGAAGGTAGCTTTTTTTTTTTAAGGGGTTTTTGCTATAGGGCACGTGAGTTCGCCAGAAAGATAGAGACAGAAAGTGAGAAATCACTCCCCAGGGGGGATGGCCATACCACAATCCCTTCTCCTCCACTCTCCTCTCAAGATCTTGGGCATGCCCACACTTGTTTAAGCCACCACATCTGGGACTCGAACTGTGGGGGAGTCCAACGACATAGCCATTACACCAACTGCTGGTCCCAAAGGTAGCTCTTTGAGAAATAATTAATCACCCAGAATGGCACAGGGAAAGCTACCATTCAGATCTAAAACAGTAATGCTAGCTAGGCCTGTGTGATCTTGGTCATATGTGAGTGAAATGGTTTTATTCATTTCCTTTTTCCTGTCCAACAACCCTGAACAATTATTATCTGGACATATGAGTCCAATTTACTAAAATGAATCATATGAAATATTCAAGTATTTTACTTACAAATACAGTATTTTCATGTGGCTCAACCTAATACTTATTTTTTTGTTGTTGTTTAGAGAGATTTTTGCTATAGGCTGTGTACACTCACTGGAGAGACAGAGAGAGACTGAGAGACAAAATAAAAATCACCCCCTAGAGGGGAAGGCCACACTGGAATCCCTTCTCCTCTACTCTCCTCCTGCGATCCTGAGAACCTACACACATGCTCCTGGTATGAATTTCAAGGTGCTGGGTCTGGAACTCAAACTCTGGCTGGCCATGTAGGGGTCCAGGACCTTACATCGCCTTACTACGCCACCTGCTGGTCCTGAGATACTTTTTATCTCATTGTTTTTATTCAAAATGGACTTCTATTTCAAAAGGGAAGAGAAAAAAAGGAAAAAGTAACATGAAATTATTGTTTAAGGTAATACAAATTTCTATCATATTCCTCTCCTGAAACCTCTTTGTAGATAGGAATTATGACTCAATTACTCTTTACTGCAAGATTATTAAGAATATTCATTTACATATATCAATAAGGATAATTTTACCTTTATTAGAAATATGGTTAAAAAATTGCATTGTTGTACAGCAAGCACCCACATATTAAAGGTGCCTCATTTATTTGACCTTATTTAAAATAAATCACTTCTAATTAGTCTTCTTTATTTCAGTGACTTGCTTACTAGTGTAGGTGACATCAAAAGATTTTTTTAAATGTGCATAGTTTCACACACGCACAAATACAATTCAAGAATCGTCAGATACCTCAAAAACATTCACAAAGGGTTAACTCAGATGCCCCCACCCTCACTGAAGCAATTGAAAACAGCTCATCTTGGCTCATAGAGTGGCCTGGCTCTCTCTCCTCCACCAGAAAAAGAGAGCACCTATTTTGTTTCTGTGTTCTCTTTCTTACTCTGGAGAGTGGAATCTCTGCTCAACTTGGAGATGGAGGCCTGCTTCTCCAGACCATGGTCAAGAAACAGGAGAGCCCTCAGCTATTGGCTGTCAGAACCTGAGGAATTTTCATTTGGGTCCATGGCTATCACTGCCCTCTCAAGCTCCATTTCAGGAATGCACTGACCACGTTTAGCCAGGGCATGGGGCCATTTTGCAGCAGCTAAGAGAGCAAGGTTGGAAGGTGAGACATTCTTCTTCAGTGCGTAAATATAATTCTTCGCGACTACAGCAAAGCCCAATGTCATCTCCATTTTCAGAGATGAAATGCTCCCTCATCCCGTTAACTCTGTTATTGTGTCATAGAGCCCATGCTGCCAGTGTGGACACTGAAAACATCCACATGCCTCTACCTGAGTGGCATACTTACTGGACCTATCGAAAGTATCGTCAAACACAACTCTGCAGGTCTTGCCGTTGTTCAGAATGGTCTTGCAAGAGCCAGCGTCATACGATACCGACCATGGCTGCAGAGAAGGGTCATGCTTGATATCCTTAGTATGAAGTTCAATGGGTGACTGATTATCCCCGTTGGCAATTGGGTAAAGTTCATGCCAGTGGTCAGGACCTAGGAAATAAAGTTGGGACGATATATTTATCTGGTGGCACCACCCAAAGCCTCTTTCTAAACGGACTAAACCAGCAAAATGTGAGACTAGACAGTGATTACAAAAATATCTGCAGTTTCAGATTGTGCAATGCAAAAGCATTTAATGCCTCTTTCATAGATTTGTTAATAGCGTACCTAACATCTAGGCTTTATTGACGCTAGATACTCAGCATATTCCCTGTGCTTGCCCAGAAATATTGCCTCAAAGGCTTATTTTTGAAATGGACTTCATCACACTTTTTTCCCAGTGCTACCTTGCAGCATGCAGTTGGAATGAAATAGCACGGAACGCATACATGAGTGCAGGGCTTTGTGACTCAGAGCACACCTGGATCCTTCCCCATGGGCTAGGCAGGAGTCTGCAGGGAAGGGATTCTTGTCCCAACATCAGGCTCAGGTTAGTGTTTGCCCAACATGTCCGTGTAAGGGACCATCAGACCTGGACCTCGGGATGTCTGACTCTGAGACAATGTGATCACAGGCAAGTTACCGAACTTCTCTGTGCTTCTGTCTCCTCCACGGGAAGTAATTTCACCCCACAGCAGGGAGAACTGAGATGAAGGTGAAAGGACCAGCAGCATTGGGCACTGGACCGTACTCAGTACAGGGGAATTCTTCTCGACTCCCACGTCCACATTTTCCACCTTACTCCCTAGAGTTGCCCACTGTCTGTGCAATGCCCAGGCTCCTCGGTGCTGTCCTGCCCCAGGGTGCCGTGGCCGCCTGCACTCACCATTGTGGCTGGCGTAACCCCACTCCTTGGCCATGTTCCTCTTTTTCCGCGCTGGACCACTCCTGTCTTGTCTTCTCCAGCGGCGTCGTGCAGAGCCCCTGCGAGCCCGCGCCTTTTATATAGGTCGCCAGCACACTGCATGGCCTTATTAGGTCAGCCAGGGTGGGGCACGGGGGCTAAAGGCCTAGGGTGGTATTTGGGAGGCGCGGTGCGGGAAGCCAATGAATTCCAAGAGCTGGACAGCTGTCGGGGGGGAGGGAGGTGGAGGTGGGCGGAGGGGCCCCCGCTCCGCCCCTCCCTGCGCCTCTCTCTCCCTGCCCCTTCCTTGGAAACCCAGCTTCTAGGCTTTCCATCTCCCCCCCTCCGGTCTCCTGAAATTGTAGGGCTTTCTAACAGGCGGCGACTTGCAGAAATGCAAGCGTCTTTCGCCTCGTCCTCGCTCCCTTCGTGCATTTCGAGAACCGGTTGGCGGGGATGGAGTATCTTAGCTATGCTTAGCCACCGGCTAAAATCGGCATCCCGGCGGCTCCTGCAGCTTCACTACAAAGTTGCAGCTCGCGCAGGCTGGCGATCTAGCGGCGGTCTCTGCACGTTTCCGCGAGTTTATTTCGCCCTAGCGGTTCGCTCGCGGTGGCTGGAAAGAACAGATTTGCTTGCCCGGCCCATGTCTGACTCCCTTGCAGGCCACTTGAAAAAGCTCAGGAGCTAAGGATGCGAAGAGGCCGGCTGGGCAGCCTCTGTCAGTCCATTATCCTTAAAGAGATTGCCCTCTCCTTGGAACCACACCAGGCTGCGTTTCCCTAGCCAGCGGATCCCTTCGGTCTGCACGACGCCCTGGGCTGGACCTCGCAGAGTGCCAGAATCCGCGAGAGGTCTGGATCCAGGTTCACGCCGAGCAGCGGACCCGGCTGATGGCACCATACTCCTCACGAAAAGTCTGCAACTTTTAAGTATTAGACCACTGACATGAAATGAAGCCTGTTGCTTAACACGCATGATCTCAATCTCCAAAACGTAATGAGAAATTGGAAGCAAAGGAGGAAAGGTTTACTGAACGGCTTTTTATTTTTCCTCACCCTCCTAAGTTGTTTTATTATATTACAGTGAGCCACGCAAAAGAAGAATAGAACTGGCATATTCGTTGTGTATTAGAAAAAAAAAACAACAACATATTTTTATAAGAATGTTTAGTTATGGTTCACATTGAAGAAGTCAGTTTTGCAGATAGTCACAATTCTAAGCTTACATTGTGAAATTTCTTCAAAGTTAGTAATGATTTTTTAAAGACAGTGAGGAAAGCTAAACTAATATCAGGGCTATACTAAACAAGATTTTAATATACATTTTCTTAATGTTAGTGATGATAGTAGCTTGTATTTGGGGATTACAAAACTTGAAAAGGAAATCTCTCATCATGGCAAAGATAGCTCATCCCTAAGGCATGTGGAATGACTGGCCACGCTCATAACCTGGACGCCAGGGGAGTCATTCCCCAGGGTATTTTTGTGACCAGGGATTATTTGATCCACACAATAGCAGTGTGGAATCAGGAACTGAGACTGTTCGGAAAATCCAAGCAAGCAGCAAAACAAATGCCCTTAGACTCTGAGCTCAAATATGGCACTGTTTGATCAAGAAAGGCTACTAAGTTGGGATGCCTGGGCCAATTTGCTACTTTACTCGGATAAAGTTGTGCTGTAATGTGCAGTTAATAGAAATGTTTTCTATTTCTTATCAAGTCTATACGTGTTTGTATGAGTAGACCCTGATATTGTTCCAATCCATCAAATTGTTCAGTATCTTTTTCTCCTATATGTGTGGTTAGGAGATTGGTAACTGAATTTCACTTTATCTTATATAAGAGTAATACAAAATATTTAGTAATGTCTTTATACTAAAAACAATCTAGGAATTCATCATATTATTAGTTTATGCATTGAGTTTTTATTTTAACAGGTTATTTTTCATTAAAGAATGTGCACAATGGCCCATAATTTCAAATAAATACTAGGTAGAATGTGAAAAGTGAAAGAGTTAATAGCTTTAAATGTGTGGCTTTGAAAATACTGATGGTGTTTTCATTTCATTTTCATATAAGAAGCTAATAAAAATTGAAATTTCAAGATATAAAACATGTCATTTTAGACCATAGCAATTTTTTCAGAAACTTCATTTGAGTTTATCTGCAGATAGATTTTTTTTTCAGCAACTTCACCTGCAAGTTTATCATCTGCATCTTAACTGATTTATTCCAGCATGTTTTTCTATAAATTTCAATTCCCTATCAGAAAAGCAAAGAGAGAATTTTAAATTAAGCCCAGGAGTATTAGATTTCTGGAGTTGGTTTGAAAAAGAAATCTGTGACATGTACAATGAGTTAAATCATTCCAGAAAAAGAGCTAAAAATACTTAACTACAAATTATCTCCTAGTTTGACAGCATTCTTCCCAGAACCATTGTTGGAAAGTTGAAATATTGGACAATTTGTAGTTTTTTTTTTTAAATGAATGTACACATACAGAGAGAGAGTGAGTAGCAACCAAAGAAACAAATTTGGATAAGCAAAAGTTATTGGCAGAAAGGGAGTGTCTGAATATGGAAATTTCAAACACGTTGTTGGTTAAAATTATAAACCTAAAAGATATAATGTGATCATCTTTAAATATAGTCTGCCCATAATTTAGCATTTTATTTTGCAAGACATCAGATAATATAACTAACTCAAATCTTCTCCAAGTTGATATCATTTGGAGTTTCCATTGCAAGAGGAACAAAAAAAAAAAAGAGCAATAAATTACCTATTTATTCACCTCTGAGATCAAAGCATAAACTAAGATTTGAAGTACATCCATAATTTTTCTAAAATATTTTATATATTACAAAGACATATATTTCCTACTACTTTTTTTTTTTATTTTTGTAGAACAAGTTCTGGAATAGGAATGTGAAAAAGTATCATAAATTGTTTAATTAATCCACATAATTATCATAATTAACATAATTTTACCTTCCTCCCTGACAATGTTTTTTCCCAAAATTTAATTGACCATGTTTTTTAGGAACATGACAGGCCTAGTTCCCAAGTTGTCTCCCATGACTGCTGGGCCGTTCGAATCAGACCTTAGATTTTGGCTCCTGTTCATGGCAAATTTATAAAAGCCTAAGTCTTTGTCCTAACTGGTGCCCTCACTAAAATGTATCAATCTGAGATACATTTTAGTGTATCTAAGTTAGTGTATTTTATATGATACAAAGGGTCCATACATTCAAATTTTCTCCAAATACACATCATTCTCTTAAAAATACACTAGTTGGGGCCAGCAGATGGTGTAGTGGTTATGTCATTGGACTACCACATGGCTGATCACGGTTTGCATCCCAAACTCAGTGGCTTGAAACTCATGCTGGGTCTGTGTGCATGTGTGTTCAAGATCCCATAAGGAGAATAAAGGAAAAGAAATTGCAACATGGTCCTCGGCCCTGAGGAATGATTTCTCGCTTTCCGTCTCTCTCTCTCTCTTAGTGGGCACATGCACCCTATGGCAAAAACCTCTAAAAAAAAAATATATTTTGTATACACACACACACACACACATACACTATACATATCTTACATGGCAAAAAACTCACTATACATTATCTTTTCCTAGGATCAAATTTATATGATCAAATCAAGTTTTCAATAACTTGATGGTATTAATATTTGCTTGCAGAATTAACAAGTAGAATTGTGTTTTGTTTTGTCATTTGAGGAGCATGTAGTTGATATGAACAGTCCTTTAGCCTCAGGCATCCCTTCTGTGAAATGGAGAGCGTAGTGCCAGCTTTATAGGGTTCTTGTGAGGATTAAATGAGATAATACTGTATGTTTAAGGCACTTAACGCAGCATGGGCCCGCATAGTTAGCATTCAGTAAAGTAAGTGTCTTTCTCTGGCCTTGTTCCTTTCTTCTCATTTCTTTTTGAGTGATCCTGTACCCTAACTGATCCTTGTTCCTTGGTGGCCATAAGCAGTGCTTCTGTGTATGTCAAGAAGCATAGTTGTTAACCTGTGGACATTTCGTGGATGGACACATCCAACTTGCTTGAGATAAAAATGATATCCTCGGGGTTCGCCTTTCTTTCAACTAGCTTGAGCTGCTCAAACTAGTCAACAATTGACTCTTCCCACAATGGGAGTCAAAGTATTTCATCCTGTGTGACTAGTTACGGATGAAGTGTATTAACCTAACAAAGTTAACTGAAACTCATAGCACTGAGATAAGAACAAAAAATCACTGAATTCCGGGAACCAGCAGTTAGCGTAATGGCTATGTCGCTGGACTCCCACGTAGTCGACCGCGGTCCGTGTCCCGGACCCGGTGGCTTAAATCTCACGCCGGGCGCGTGTGCGTGCGTGCCCAGGATCCCGAGAGGAGAATGGAAGAGAAGGGATTGCGGCGTGACCATCCCCCCTGGGGGGTGATTTCTCGCTTTCTGTCTCTGTCTCTCTCTGTCTGTCTGGCGAGCGCACGCGCCCTACAGTGAAAATCTCTCAAAAAAAAAAAAAATCACGTAATTCCTATGAAGCTAAACCTTCCATGGCATATGATTTCAGAAGCAAGTGTTTAAAAGTGAAATTTAAACTCCTCCAAATACCACTTCAGGCTTTTCAGAAGCCTAGCCTACAAACTTTTCAGACTTATCTCTGCTTTTCTTGTCAAAGACATCTACAGAGTATCTCTCACTCTCATAATATACTTTCTTTTTCCCCTTGGCCTTGTCACACAGTACTTCTTTGACTCAGTTGTCCTGTTGTCCTTTCCTCCTTCTACATCTGATACATTAAAACTGTTTGTATCGGGACCAACAGTTAGCGTAATGGCTATATCGCTGGACTCCCGCGTAGTTGACACAGTTCAAGTCCCAGACCCGGTGGCCTAAACTCACGCCGGGCGCTTGTGCATGAGCGCCCAGGATTCCAAGAGGAGAATGGAGGAGAAGGGATTGTGGCGTGGCCATCTATCCTGGGGGTGATTTCTCACTTTGTCTTTCTGGCGAGCACAAGCTCCCTATAGCAAAAACCTCCCAAAAAAAAAAAAAAAAAAAAAAAAAAAAAAA